GTTCTAGGCAGAAAGAAGAGGCAGGACAAACAGTGGCTCACTACGGACACTTGGAAACTAATAGAAGAGAGAAGGATGGTGAAACAAAAGATTATCCAGTGCACTGACGAGCAGCAAAAACAGGAGTTGAATGCAAGCTACAATACACTGAACAAAAGAGTGAAGAAGAGTGCCAGGGAAGACAAAAGAAAATATTATGAAACCATGGGAAGTGAAGCAGAACAAGCTGCAGGCAAAGGAGACCTCGCCACACTCTACCAAACAACTAGGAACCTTTCGGGCAAAAGTTCGACACAGATTAAGCCAATAAAGGATGACAATGGAAAATCAATCACCAAAGAGGTGGAACAAAGAAAACACTGGGCTGAACACTTCAAAAGACTTCTAAATCGACCGCCACCTACAACGCGCCCAACAATACCAACAACGGAAGCAGAACTACCAGTGAACATCGACCCTCCCCCCGACGAAATCAGAAGTCCTGAATGCAATCAAGATGCTAAAAGCTGGAGAAGCAGAAGGACCAGATGGAATCCCAGCAGAAGCATTGAAAATGGACCCAGAGACAACAGCAGACTTGATGACACCACTACTGGAGAAGGTGTGGAAAGAGGGCAAAGTACCCGAGGATTGGAAGAACGGATACTTATTCAAACTACCAAAGAAAGGAGACTTAAGTCATTGCAAAAACTGGCGCGGAATTATGCTCCTGTCCATTCCAAGCAAAATACTAAGCCGCATCATCCTAGAGAGAATCAAACAAGCCCCTGGATGAAAAACTTCGACCGGAACAGGCCGGATTCAGGAGAAACAAGTCATGTATTGATCAAATCGCCACTTTACGGATCATCATTGAACAAAGCTTGGAATGGCAGTCACCTCTCTATCTCAACTTCATCGACTTTGAAAAGGCCTTCGACAGCGTCGATCGAGAGGTGATTTGGCAACTACTTCGCTACTACGGGGTCCCATCGACAATTATACATCTCATCCAACAGTTATACGACAATGCTGCATTCCAAGTAATCCACAACGGGAAACTTACGGAAGCCTTCGAAGTGAGGACGGGAGTGAGGCAAGGCTGTCTACTATCGCCAATGATCTTCCTGATTGCAGTAGATTGGATAATGCGACAGACAACGGAGGACAATAAGGAAACAGGCATAAAATGGACTCACACAAAAAACTTGGAGGATCTGGACTTCGCCGATGATATATGTCTGATTTCCCACAAACTGGAAGATATGCAAGTGAAAAGCAACAAGCTGGCAGAAGAAGCATCAGAAGATAGGACTTCAGGTGAACATAGATAAAACAGAGATGATGAAGATTCCTGGCCAACACCAACAGCAACAACAACAGACAACAACAGCCAGCATAAATGGGAGGAACCTGAAAGAAACAAACACCTTTACCTACTACCTGGGAAGCATCGTTTCAACTACAGGCGGACGGAACTGACGAGGATATCAAAGCCAGAATCGGAAAAGCAAGACAAGCTTTCATTACTCTCAAGTCTGTGTGGAGGTCAACAGCAGTCGGCATCAAAAATAAGATATGGATTTTCAACTCCAATGTAAAATCAGTGCTTCTATACGGATCAGAGACTTGGCGAGTCATGAAGAGCATCTCAAACAAACTTCAGACCTTCATCAACAGTTGTCTTTGCTCAATACTCAAGATCAGATGGCCGGCCAGAAAAGATCAGCAACAGATAGGGATCTCTGGCAATGAGCGAACCAACCCAGGGGAACCGATTGTGAAACAAATAGTTAGGAAGAAATGGAGATGGATTGGCCACACCCTGAGGAAACCATCAAGTGACATCACTAGACAAGCCATCGCTCGAGTGGAACCCGAAAAAGAAACGGCGAGTTGGTCGTCAGTGCAAGGGTGACTTGGAGGAGGTCATGCGAGGAGGAGATGAAAGCATGTGGGCAGACTTGAAGCGGAGTGAAAAAGTTGGCAGAAAACCGAAGGCGATGGAGGTGCGCAGCTGAAGCCCTATGTTCCTCTAGGAACTAAAGGATATAATAATAATAATGACGAATGATAATCAAGTATTTCACAGTCTGCACTTAGTTTTGTTATCTTTACCAATTCTCCAGCTTGACAACCAGAATGACTCCAGACTAACGAACGGTGATCAAGTTAGTAAACTTTGTTTTGATATAATAATAGATATACTATTACCTTTGATATTTGTTTTGAGCGATCTTCATTGTTATTTTGACTTCCAGTATGTCCTTTTGAGTTGAACTAAGTCTATTTTTCTCACCCCCTAACTCTTTGTTATATATATGCTGAGTGGATTTTGTAAATTCCGGTTTAATAATACTTTGAGAAAGCTATTAGCATTAAATAGTGAAACGTCAGTAAAAACAATATCGTTTTGTTTTTCATTCATTGGGAAATACAAAAAAAAGCCTTTATTATGAAGAAGACATGTAGTTTATCTGAAACGTGTAATGTATTCGCGAACAACACATTCCGGGCATTCTGATCACTCACACACACACACACACGAGTACTTGTCATACACAGTTTTGTAGAAGGCAAGAAGACATGCGTGAATCATCACAATACAGGTCAGATTGTGCACATGTCAAGGTCACAAATAATAGGTAAGGCGATGACGCTGAAGTGTGGATAAGAAAGGTAGAAAGGAGAGAAGAACAAAGCAAGGAAGGGGTTGAAAATATTATCAAATAAATTGATCTTTGGTTCTAAATTGGATTACCAAGGCAGATTAAAGATAATGGCAAATAACTTTTGGACACATAAGACAGGTTTAAGTCCTTTTATGGCTAAGGCTTCAACAACGAATTTAAGCATGTGACCCAATCTTGTTTTATATATGGGCTTAAAGGCATTACTGAAATCAGGCTTATATAATTTGAATAAGGCATTAAGAAGACAAATTTTGCGAGATGATATCATCACATCGTAGTTTCTTTACAACCGCTTTACAACTAACATGGTTAACAATGATAAAATAAAGTTCATGAAAATTACTCAGTTAAATAAAAACAAAAGTACATACTAATGACCAATCATATTAAGATAGGTCATGCAGTTTAGGGTAGGCGAAGATTGAAGTCTATTGATTTTTGTACACACAGTTTAGGCTGTATGTGATTAATCCCCCAAAGTGCTTCCATCACCTTCAATAACCTTGAATTAGAGTCAAGTGGTGAAATAATTGTGAAACAGTCATTAATATTGATTTTGTGACCAGACATTAATAAGTGTTTTGCAATGGATGATGCTGGATTTCTACTAAGATTAATCGCGTTAGGATTTTCGATATGATTTATTAGCCATTTTGGAACATGTTCTTTTCGACCACGACATTGGAACATTCTGTTAGTTCTACCTATATCGGTGTCACCGCAGCTTCAGGTGAACTTGTAGATACAGTTTGAAGTTATATAATTTGCTTCGCAATAGATGATGTTGAACATCTGTTTCTGGGGTCATTTGTCTCTGGCGATTTTACTTGTTGTTACCGCCACTTTGGAATGTGTTCTGTAGCTCTAACGTGCAGAGACCGATGGGTCCTCCCTATGTACCTTTCTCTACACACATACATGTAAATTGATAAACACAGTGGGATGTAACACCATCGTTCGGATAATGTGAGGGTTTTACTGGACAGCATAATTCTCGTTTTCTCTATGAAGATAAGTTTAGCTGCATAATAGGTTTTATTCATTGCGGCCTTTAGTCTTTGTCTAGTGACTAGACTTTGTTGATCACCCCTGAACGGCAAGGATATGTAAACACGCCTTTAGGCCCATATATAAAACAAGGTTGTGCCACATACATAAATTCATTGAAGCCTTAGACATAAAAAAAGACTTAAACCTGTCTGTCTTGTGTGTCCGAAAGTTGTTTGTTATCACTTTAAACCTGTCTTGATAATCCAATTTAGAACCAAGGACCGACTAACTTCATAATATTCTCAATCCCTTCTTTGCCTTGTTTTTTCTCTTTCTTGCCCAAACTTCTGCGTCATCTCCTTACCTATTATTTGTGACCTTGACATGTACACAATCTGACCTGTATTGTGATGATTCACGCATGTATTCTTGCCTTCTATAAAATCTGTGCATGACAAGTACTCGTGTGTGTGTGTGTGTGATCAGAATGTCCGGAATATGTTGTTCGCGCATACATTACATGTTTCAGATAAACTGCACGTCTTCTGATTGTGTGAACACATTTCTCAAGTGTTGATTTTCTAAGGGAATGTGTTTGATTGCATGAAGGATTTCATCATGAGCTGACATCAGTTAGAGAACCACTGGAAAACCAGCTGGGAGTACTGGACAGCTGTTTCTTCATAGTTTTGGGGCTCTTCATCAGTACGCACCCACCACCAGGCCCTTCTGGTTACAAAGTTAGCGAGCCTGTAGACCATTGAGCTACTGGGACCCGATCCAATGGTCCTTGAATTCTATCTTCTGCCAATGCACCGTTTCTCAATGTCTTCTTCGATGAGTTACTGCCTCACCTTCACGCTGCTGTACCCTAGTGGTCACGGCTTCCCACTAGAACCTCAGGTTAACTGCCTGAATAGGGCCAGTCACTCACTAGTGAGCATCAGATGAATTTTCAAGTATGTCGTGAATTGGCAGAAGTTAGAATTCAAGGACCATTGGATCGAGTCCCAGTGGCTCAATGGTCAACGAGCTCGCCTTGTAACCAGAAGGTCCTGGGTTCGAACTCCAGCGGTGGGTGCGTACTGTTAAAGAGTCCCAAACTAGGCTGACGAAACAGCTGTCCAGTACTCCCAGGTTTTCCAGTGGTTCTCTAACTGATGTCAGCTCATGATGAAATCCTCCATCCAATCAACACATTTCTGTCAATACTTAAGGTTGAACAGATCCACCGGGGGGTAGTATCCAAAATAAAACAGATTTTTACACAATAAACTGCATTCTGTTGTACCGACAGAAACTGATGATGAAGATCATAATAATAAAACGGTTTTTGTTAAAAACATAATTTATTAGCATTACACTTCACTTCATAAACATTGATGAATTCATTCATTCATTCATTGTCTATTTGAAATAAAGTTGTAAATATGCCAGTTTCCTCTGATAACGTTTATGCTCTGCAGTAGTGGCAAGCTGTAAAGAAAATGTGAAAAAAATATATATAGAGTAAAGTCAATACTAACAGTGACTAACTAGTTGGTGACTGTTTGAGTCGATGGCATGGGAGTACAATGCTCACGAACCACGACTCGTTTGGTTCAAGAGGGATTCGATCGTGGGCCACAGATGCACTCATCCTTTATCTTGCTAAGTCAGAAATAAGACTGATGAAGGGGGAAAGTTGGGCATATAAGGATATCAGCAGCCCTACCTCGTAAAAATAAACAAATACCAATGCTACCGAAACTTTAAACCTCTAGCTTGAAGCCTTATGTTCCTTGTGAGGGAATGTAAAGAAAATAAAATAAATAAGTAGGTGAGAGTACTGATCAATGAATATCATTTTGGATAATTTTCCCTTCCAGCGCTTCAATTATTTGTATATATTTAGATAGGCAGAATATTCCAGAATAATCGTCATTAACAATATTGATTTCATACATTTATTCCCCTTAATTAATTTGAACAAAGCAAGAACAACAGTTTTTGCAGAATAAAGTGGTACCTTCATTACTTATTTCGTTGCCTTCTCGTCAGTTGCTTACAGGCCAAAAACATTTTAAAATGTATCTACAAAAGCAATTTTAGCATACTTGCACAGAGTTCATTTTAAACAAAAATCAATCGATCAATATATGCACACAGTAATAATACATATATGTAATATTAAACACTATTCCGTACAATAATAATCATACACAATGGAAACTTTTCAGCACTTTGCATTCAGATGAAAGAGAGATGAAAAGATATCCAGTTAACAGGCTGGGCAAAGAAAGACTGATAACCGCTTCTTTCTGTGGACACATAAATCAGGTTTCAGGCGCTTGATGGAAATAGCTTCAGTAAACTTCAGGAGAATTGAACTCTTTTGCTAGTGACGTACTCAATCTCCTGTTGATCACTGTATCTGCAGGAACAGTTACATTGGAAGAACAGAAAGACGGGGCATATCTACGATTTCCTGAATACGTGCCGAATAGCTTATGTCTAAGGGAACAAACGCTTTCAACAGTGCCATTGCCAGACATCTCCTTGACAAGGGTCATAAGGTGGGCATCGAAAAGTCGTTCAAAATAATCGATAGGCAAAAGAGTTCAATTCTCCTGAAGTTTACTGAAGCTATTTCCATCAAGCGCCTGAAACCTGATTTATGTGTCCACAGAAAGAAGCGGTTATCAGTGTTTCTTTGCTCTGGTAACTGGATATATTCATCTCTCTTTCATCTGAATGCAAAGTGCTGAAAAATTTCCATTGTGTATGATTATTATTGTACGGAATAGTGTTTAATATTATATATATATATATATATAAATATATATATATATATATATATATATATATATATATATTATTACTGTATGCATATATTGATCGATTGATTTTTGTTTAAAATGAACTCTGTGAAAGTATGTTAAATTGTTTTTGTAGATATATTTAATAATGTCTTTGCCCTGTATGCAGCTGACGAGAAGGCAAAGAAATAAAAGATGGTACCACTTTATTCAGCAAAACTGTAGATCTTGCTTTTTTCAAAAAACAATATTGATGTTTTTAAATATTATCGATTTGTTAACATCACAATGGAATTACCATAGTTCAAGAAAGACGCAAAACTAGAGAATGGAACTTTGAAAGATGTAATTAATGAAATCGAATTCTCCTGACGCCACTTGGATGATACATTTTTGATTATGAAAAATGAGGATGTGAAGCAAATTTAACGACATGCATCCTGGAATAAATTTCACCATTGAGAAAAAAAAAGAGACTCCACCTAGTATTTCATCCTCTTCGAAGAATTTCGACATTGTCGAAATAGGTGAAAAGTCTATCCCTTCTTTCCCATTCACTGCATTCGATGTGGTTAAAATGTGCAAGGATTCAGAGGTCAACCTTTCTTTATGTGTTGAATGAAAGCCCCTTCCAAGAATTTCGACATTGTCGAAATCAATCTTATGTCGGCTGTCTATCGCATGCATTGCTATAGCCGATCTTTTTTGCTAGACTTTTTAAATTCTACTTCATTTCAAGGTAGGGACGTTTTGTGCATAGTCCATGATGTTCAACTCCAACTCGCCTCTAAGAAGGACGTGTTCATCAAGCTACCCTATATGGGAGGGGCATCATAGCAGCTTGATAACTAGACAAAGATTAAACGCTGCTGTGGTTAAAAAGATTTTTTATGCAGCGAATGTCATAATAATAATAATAAAGAATATAAAGCCAACATATCTATCTAAGCCCTTCGAACATGCGAAAAATGATGTCACATCTCACCGTATTTACCAATTTGAATGTACGTATGGGCACACATACATAGAAGGGAGGACTCATCGATCTCTGCCAACAATTAAGGGCTGGCTTCACAGCATATTCCTAAATGGCTCCAGAAACAAATGGAATCTTCAGAACCCAGTAATGGTGAGAAAAGCAGACCTAGCTCCTCTATTGCAAAACATATTATAGAAACAGGACATAAAATTGATGTTAACAGATCTTTTAAACCTATCTATAAAACGTGTTTGGGGAGGGCGTATCCTAGAGTTTGTCGAAGACCTAGTTGGCAATTAGAAGGTTTAAACTACCTCTATGCGTTCAAACCAACAACGTTCGTCATCACACTAACTAAACCTTCTTTCTTGGTAAACTTTGTTTTTATTACCAACCAAAGTAGATGTACTATTACCTCGGCTATTTGGTCTAGTGATCTTCTTTTTTGTTATTTTGACCTTGAATGTCTCCTTTTAACTTGACCTAAGGAGTTTATTTTCTAACCTTTTAACTCTTTATTAATTTAAAAAATATATTCCTATGAGAAGTCCGTGGAATGTGATCAGATTGTTCGAAATGTGTTATGCGCGCAAATACATCACACGATTCAGACAAATTACGTCTTCCTTCTCATTGCTTTATCTAAATTCATAAAGGCAACTGATCTTTACAAATCAACTAGAGGAGAATAAACACAACAACAACAACAATTTGACATTAGTCATTACAAATATGTATGTGATGGCTGCTTACATATTTCTATCGGTAAAAATGTCCATGGACAAATGACCTTCAAATAAACTGACTTCAATTTATGTAAAAAAAAATTTTGACTGAATATTTTGATGATTTTGATGATAAGCATAAATGGGAAGAACCTGAAAGAAACAACCTCCTTCACCTACCTGGGAAGCATCGTCTCAACTACAGGCGGAACTGACTAGGACATCAAAGCCAGAATCGGAAAAGCAAGACAAGCTTTCATTACTCTCAAATCTGTGTGGAGGTCAACAGCACTACTCAGCATCAAAAATAAGATCCGGATTTTCAACTCCAATGTGAAGTCAGTGCTACTATACGGATCAGAGACTTGGCGAGTCATAAAGAGCATCTCAAACAAACTTCAAACCTTCATTAACAACTGTCTCCGCTCAATACTCAAGATCAGATGGCCAGAAAAGTTCAGCGACAGGGATCTCTGGGAGCGAACCAATCAGGAACCGATTGTGAAACAAATAGGCAGAAAGAAATGGAGATGGATTGGCCATACGCTGAGGAAACCATCAAGTGAGTGACATCACTAGACAAGCCCTCGAGTGGAACCCGAAAGGGAGGCGGCGAGTTGGTCGTCAGTGCAAGGGTGACTTGGAGGAGGTCATGCGAGGAGGAGATGAAAGTATGTGGACAGACCTGGAGCAGGTTGAAAAAGTTGTCAGAAAACCGAAGTCAATGGAGCTGCGCAGCTGAAGCCCTATGTTCCTCTAGGAACTAAAGGATACAATAATAATAATAATAATTTTGATGATTAATAAAAATCCGGATAAATCTGATGAAGAAGCTGTGGTAGCTTACACAGTGAAACGTTCAGAAAACACATCTTGTTTTGATCTTTTCTTAACACACTGGGATTAATTTTCAAATTATGTATAATGAATCAATCTGACTTGTCGCTCAAATTATTCCAGGAAGTTCGTAACACCTACGGTCTGGAAACCTATAACATACATAAAAATCTATAAATATCTGTTGATTTCCTCAATAAACGGTCTGTTGCCTGGCTCTTGCCTTCTGTCGTTACAGTATTCTGTGTATATAAATATATACATTTAATTGTAGAGCTGGAAGGGTAAATTATCGAAAAGGATATTATTTGCTCAAATATATTTTCTGTCTAAATTGTCTACATGAATTTAACTAAATTTTAGATTTTCCGGTCGATTGGTTGAACCGAAATGCTCGGTCTCAGGTTGGCATGTCTGTTGGCTTGTTGTGCAGATGCTTCGACGATGTTTGGGCATTTAATTAGAATTTAATTGGTGGATGGCGACTGTAGCAGTGGAATCGAGGATGCGCATTGCGTCCCATTTCGTCTAATGGTCTTGTGGATAACGCTTTTAGCGTTTGAAACTATGGGCCCTTGGTTCGAGCCTCGGTGGGAATATCATCACTGACTCACTGAGAAATGTAGGTACATCGGCTAGCTGATGTGTCTCAAGCAGAGGATGAAATGGGCTTTATCCTGGATTCCACCGCTAGTCACCGTCCACCAAATTAAATGTCTAAATGAATATTATTGCGTCGGTGGCACAGCTGTTAGGACTCTCGCTGATCTCATGCACATGGTCCGGAGTTCGACCCGTGCTGGCTCACACCTGATATCAGTGGTCGGCCTGCAAAATTTGGGCTACCGATATCATATGCTGAAAATTCCATACCTCTACCGAAAATACGGTGTGGAAACAAGCTGTAATCAAAAATAAAAAATTACCAAAGTGTTTAATAAGAGCATAACAAGGAAATAATAATAATATAATTATTGATTGATCGATTGAGTTATATGTAAACAATGAAAGATTGAACATTTTCACTATACAAGAAAAATCAATAGATTCGACAACTAACTTTATCTGTATTAACTGATATTGTACTCTTTTGTTCAATTGTAGGCAAATTAACAGGATGTAACATTGTATCTCTTTGCCATTGGACACGTCGACCGATTTCACTGGTTATATCGTATGTTCCAACCCTGTGTAAGTTTAAGTTTTAAGACAAAGGGAGAAGTGGAAAGTCGCTGAAATAGGCACTGTGAATACGCAGATGGATATCTTTCGTGAGTTTAATTAATTTCAGGAGTCATTCAAAAAAAACAAGTCCTAAGTTATCCTAATCATCTTCACGATAAACTTTGTGCTTGTGCTACCTCATCAGCAGAGTAAATCTGTATTGATTGCATGGAGGATTTAATCATGAGCTGACATCAGTTAGAGAACCACTGGAAAACCTGGGAGTACTGGACAGCCGTTTCGTCCTAGTTTGGGACTCCTCAGCAGTACGCACACACCGGGATTCGAACCCAGGACCTTCTGGTTACAAAGCGAGCTCGTAGACCATTGAGCCACTGGGACCCGATCCAATCTGTATTCTTAAAAGAACCTGTATTTTCAAAAGAATGGTTACTGAACAAAGAGTACTCTTTTCGCTAACGCCTTCATCATCAGGCTCTACAGTTATATATGCAACATTATGGTGAGTGAATGAATTAGTGTTATGAACAACTTTAATATCGTTTAAATAACATCGAATCAATAATATTAATAGATTACAGCTCAATGGCATCAACATAAAATAAGCTGAATGTCAGGAAAATTAGGAAAGATAATATTGCGAATTCATGACATTTTAGTCTCTACTGAAGGCCGACCAGGGCAGTATTAGGGGTTGGACTTGCTTCTTTTGAACACAGAGCACTGGTTGTTTGAGGCGAATTGCCATAGCCTCTGCTGTTTGAAGCATGCGGTGCTTCGACGATGATTTTAGCAATTTATTAGGCACCCGGTAAATGATAGAGAAGGATTCTTCAATGCTGACTGGCTTTGTGGCCAGTTTGCACCAGATGGTCTAATATCGAACTGTTGATGGTTTTAACTACACCTTTGCTTAGGCATACTGCGAGATTTCCTCGAGCGAGCACGAAAAATCAAGTTCCTAGAGCAACGGTTGATATAACTCGCTCCATCACAAGCGCAGTTGAATTGGTAGATACTATTTGAAGTGGCTAGTCTAGGTACTTCATCTTTCAGTTGAGGTGGCATCATCGGTCGTGTGGAGAATAGTACGCGTAGTTCACAGGCATTTAAAGTTCTCTGAGCCGATTTTCTCAATTTCTTCGCAGTTATTTCGCTTGGTATATTGCCATTGAATTGCAGTGACTTTTGCTTACAGATAGTGAGTAGTCGTTTTCCGCCGCTTTCTTTGTCATGTGTTTCTTTATAAATTTGTCAGGATAGCCATTTTCGATCAAAGTATCATATACAATGCTTAATTCATCTTCAATTACTTCTTCTGAGCATACAGCCCTAACTCTGTGTGTCTGAGGGTCTTCACTAAATTTCTTTTGTACTTGATAGGAAAGAAGCTGTGAAAATGTGTATATTGCCCTGTCCAAGTAACTTTTCTATGCAAATTTCTTTTTATGCCACCATCTGGTTTTCTTGTAAGTAGGACATCCAGGAAGGCTATTCTGTCTTGGGATTCCTCTTCACATGTGAACCTGTATTGTCTGTGAGGTTAACATCTCCATTATTCAGTTGTACATTGATAGGTTTTATCAGTTAGTTGTTCAGTTCATCCCTCGTTCGAAGAGTAGGCTTAATACACTAATCTACCGTATTAATGCATCGAAAAAACTGATTGCTGGAATTAATGCTATCAGTATAACAAACGGTGATGAATTGTAAAGATCCACCTTCGGAAATCCTCGGCTTATCCGCTCTTGTTTAGCAGGACACTGTGGTCAAAGACGGATACTACTACTACTACTGTGGTGAGAGCAGGCCGCTAGCCGATTGGTTGACACTAAGCTACGCTAATATGGGCCGTGAGAAAATATGAACAAGGCTGAGTCAACAACCAATCACAGCAAAGTTAAAGTGGCAAAATATGATTCGCAGATAGAGAACTCTATTTGTCAAGGAATCCCGAAACAACCAATCAGAAGCCTGCGTTTGTCTGCCTAACTTCTGATAAACAACCAATCAGATGACTGCGCTTGTCAATAATAATGTATGTGAAATATGTATAAATACGTGTTGATTTTCATAATAAAACGATCTGTTGCTAGTCCTTGTCTTCTGTTGTTACACTACTAATGATAATAATAATCAGCTTTATTCCAAAAACAGTACTTTTATAGTGGACGTTAGCCAGATCACTCAGCGGGTAGGAGAGAAAGAGAGACTTTGCACCCTATCACTCATATGTCAGTATGAATGGATACGTCCAATTGTCGTATAACTACCAGCTAACGTGTATTAGCAAAAACGTACATCTTCTAGGGACAATGAAATTGAAATATTAAGTAAGCTCTAAGCTGTATAACATCTTATCATCTAATAGATTCATTGTGGGATTAGGAATTAAAATTGAAACTGGATATTTCTGAACAAATATTAATTTGATTGGATGGAGGACTTTATCATGAGGTGACATCAGCTAGAGTAACATAAGAAAACCAGCCTTAGGGAGTACTGGAGAGCCAGCTGTTTCGTCAGCCTAGTCTGGGACTGACCCTTCTTCAGTACGCACCCATCGATAGCGTTCGAGCATAGAACCTTCTTATTGGAATGCTAACGAGCTCGTAGACAACTGAGCCACTGTGAGCTGATCCAATGGCCACTGCATGATTTCCAACCTCCGCCAAATCACTAGGTGGCGCTAACACTTCACGATGCCTTCTTCGATGAGTAACTTCATCTTATTATAGGTGCAAAACTTGGGCACTGTGGTAGTAAGTAATTCCATATTAGTTTGTTTATTGGATGTATCACACAGTCAGGGAAACAGTATTATTTACTGGATGACGTTTCAAACAAAATTTGTGGCGGTTCATAATCATTTCATCAATTATAATCACACGACTTCGAAACTTGAGTTTTATAGTTTTCTTTGTTCTCTCCTATTTGTTCTCGTTGGCGTAGTGGAATTTTTCAGATATCTGGGTGGACAGGTGTTGAATCAATCCTATTACGCATACTCACTGTCAGTTGATTCGATAAAAAAAGCTTCCGTTATCAGTCTCTCCCTCCACCCTGTCAGTTGCATTAGATTTTAAAACTGTCTTCCTTTCCCATCCTATTGTATGGTTGTGTGTAATTGCATGTGGTGTAGTGCTATAGCTGAACTATTCTCTAGATTTCTCATCTTATTCGACAAATCAAACTATTTGGACAAAGTGAACACCCACATACAACCCGGACCATATGAGGAAATTAATAAATCAATATACACAGTTATGAATAAAGTTAAGAAATCCACAGCGGACCTTATACGCCGATTGAACTAGAAAAACTTGAAAAATCATCAGTCATAGGTCTACACGCTATAGAATTTGACCACAAAAGTGATTTTGACAATATTGAAATAATCCAGTAAAACTTCAGAAACCACAAAGAACGTCTAATATCATCAGAAGCACTTCATATCAAGTGGAATCCAAATTATCTGAGCTGAATAGGAATGATAGACTAAAACAGAATTTGACCTGCGTACAACACCCACCTTCCCCACCCCATGAAGTGACAGAATCAACGCGAATGTGATAAGCAAGTTCATTATGTAAACACACACTGCTTTTATAATTTTACACACGGATCAAATCCAACAATCTACACCTACCTGGTTTTGTTATCTTTACTAATTGACCAACTTGACAGCAACGAAAAATGACCCCAGACTGACGAACGATGATCAAGTTAGTAAACTTTATTTTGATATCATAACAGATGTACTATTTATTACCTTTGTTATTTGGTTTAGTGATCGTCATTGTTATTTTGACTTTCAATATGTCCTCCTTTTAACTTGACCTAATTTGTCTCAAATTTTCTCACCCACCCCTTAACTCTTTTGTTGAATATATATGCTGAGTGGACTTTGTAAATTCCGGTTTAATAATACTGCTTTGATGAAGCTATTAGCAGTAGCATTAAATAGCGAAACGTCAGTAAAAACAACGATGTCGTTTTCTTTTTCATTCACACTGGGAAATACAAAAACTTTTACTTTGTTTTATCAAATGTAAAGTATTTCACACAGCAGGACAATAACACTTAACTCAACTTACCCGACAGTAGATGTGACATTGGGTGAAATATTACTTCTTGGTGCACAACTATTAAATGGCTTTTTATTCGGTTTCACCGTTAATGTCTTGTTTATATAGTTTTGATAGGCTCCAGGATCTGGAACATTCGTATTCTTGAAAGAAAATAGAGTAAAATGATAAGTCAACTTTCAAAATATTAAATCGTAGAATTTGGGTTCTGTACTGAAATGTAATCGGTAACTCAACTGAAGGATAACTTCTGCTACCTAGGAACTCAGAAAATTCAAAAGAGAGGACTGGTCTGTGGTGGTGAGAGCAAAAACTTTATTGGAGAAATATTATTAGTATTATAATTATTTCCTTTAATTCCTAGAGGAACATAGGGATTCAGCCGCTCACATCTCCATTGCATTCGGTTCTCTGCTAAAGTTATATCGTGGCTCCACGTCTGCCTACATGCTTTCATATCCTCTTCACATGACCTCCTTCAAGTCACACTCACACTGACGACCAACTCGCCGCTTCTCTTTCGGGGTCAACTCGAGCAATGGCTTGTCTAGTGATGTCACTTGATGGTTTGTTTCCTCAGAGTATGACCAGCCAATCCATCTCCATTTTTTCCTGCTTATTTGCCACACAGTCGGTTCCCCCTGGGTTGGTTTGCTCCCAGAGATCCCTATTGTTGATCTTTTCTGGTCATCTGATCTTGAGTATTGAGCGAAGACAGCTGTTGATGAAGGTCTGGAGTTTGTTTGAGGTGTTCTTTATGACACGGTGTCAATTCTCTGATCCGTATAGTAGCACTGACTTCACATTGGAGTTGAAGATCCATATCTTATTTTGATGCCGACTGCTGTTGACCTCCACACAGACTTGAGAGTAATGAAAGCTTGTCTTGCTTTCCCCATCCTTGCTTTGATATCTTCATCAGTTCTGCCCGCCTGTAGTCGAAACGATGCCTCCCAGGTAGGTAAGGGAGGTTGTTTCTTTCAGGTTCCTCCCATTTATGCTGGCTAATTGTTGTCTGTTGTTGTTGGTCAGGAATCTTCATCATCTCTGTTTTATCTATGTTCACCTGAAGTCCCTCCTATCTTCTCCGGATGCTTCATTTGCCAGCTTGTTGCTTTTCACTCGCATATCTTCCAGTTTGTGGGAAATCAGACATATATCATCGGCGAAGTCCAGATCCTCCGAGTTTTTTGTGTGAGTCCATTTTATGCCTGTTTCCTCATTGGCCGTTGTCTGTCTGTCGCATTATCCAATCTACTGCAATCAGGAAGATCATTGGCGATAATAGACAGCCTTGTCTCACTCCCGTCCTCACTTCGAAGGCTTCCGTAAGTTTCCCGTTGTGGATTACTCGGCATGCAGCATTGTCGTATAACTGTTGGATGAGATGTATAATTGTCGATGAGTGCTAGATATAGAGGGGAAATCAGTTGACAAGGTTGTGAAGTTACACCTACTCAGATGGTTAAGAGATGTGTTATGTATGCATAGCTATCGCCTTCCTCAACCGATGGGAAGTGTCAGCTGACATAGGATCAGGTTGGAAAAGTTAGCTGATAATGGTGGTCAAACAAAAAACATGCCAACACTCAATGAAATCCACAACAGTTCCTTTAAGCCAACCATGTGGAAAGGTGTGTAGACTCCCTGGTTGGGGTCGTCGGGACGGTAAAAGCCAATCAGCGGCTGGAGACAGTTGGTGATTTGGCTCAAAGTTGCCGTTGTCATTGGCTATCGCAGATGCATCCACTCCTTGTGACTTATAATATCCAATAAAACTATATGGGGTTCTTCGATATCACTATTCTTTATGCCTCATATCTCTGTTGACTGTCTCTGTTTCACATAGAAATACCGGAGCTGTGCATACAAAAGGAGATTACTCAACCACTTCTACTGTCATGGTAACAACTTTTATTGTTTTGATTTTTTTGATTTTGATGACTTAATTTTGTTTCTTTGCCTGTCCTTTAATTGCTTATAATTCTTGTATTCATTTAGAACTCTTACGTAATTTCTTATTATCTACTTTATTCCTGAGTAAAACTCACTCATCAAACTATTCATATTATCATTACATAACTTCTTTTAACAACTGCTTGTAACAACTCATCACCTTTGTTACTACCCTAATTTCATTAACATCTAATTTTCTTGACTTGTATCACCAATCTTCACCTGTTTAGTTAAAATAACCATAACCAATTGTATTTTTGTTTGACAAACTTAATGTATACATACATACAAAACAATGCATATATATTTGCGATTGTACAGCTAAGAAAATGAATTAGCTGTCGAAAACAGACTCTTCGCTGATCTACGTGTTTTGTTTTCATGAATGTCTCTGTTTTTCATTTCTTTTTACTTTCTTCCCTTGGTTTGTGTCCTACAAGGAGGGAGTGTGACGACTCGAACTGCTGCACATCGTTGTAACACGTTGCTCTATATTGAAACCGATCAGTCAGTCAGTCAGTCAGTGAGATATGCTTGGCCACTAGTTTACACAAGTTTTCATTACAGGACGAAAATCTATATTATTATTTTTGACTAAAAGATTTATATATTGGAGTGTACAAAACTGTTAAGAGATATCAAAATCTTTTTGGTTTTATCAAAATATCAAAAGATATGAACCTTGTAATTCAATATTTGCTTACATTAACTTGATAAGTCAGTCTTGGTGCTGTTCTAGCGCCTAAAGTATATCCTCGCAAACTCATAGGTTTTTTGCTGAAATCATTGATTCCTGTAGACTATAATAATCACGAAAAGTAGGGGAAAGTAAATAGATAATCAATCAATCAATCAATAAATAAATAATCCACAGGAATTGAAACCTTAAAGTTACTTGAGGGTTATATGTTGTTGGTCCAGCTAATCCATGATTACTAATCGGTGTTAAAGTTATGCCAAGACGATGATGTGGTATTGCTTCTGGATAAAGTAAGCGTTCTTGACATGATTCAAATGAAAACAAAGTTTTTCCTTCGGATAAAATTTCTGTATTGAATGTGTGCATAGAAAAGAAAATAAAAGCCGAAAAAATAGAGAATAAGATGAATGAAATAATACTATTCATTACCGCCATTGTTAATTCATCAAGACCTCAAAAAGACAAGCCAAACTTATTGTCCATTCCACGAATAAGAAGTAATAATAAACCAAATTCTGTAAGAGTGAGAAAAGTGAGTCTTTTGTAGGGGAAATCTAACAGTCACAGTTTCCAAGCCTCACATCTCTCTTTCTCTCTCTCTCTCCCTCTCTCTCTCTCTCTCTCTCTCTATATATATATATATATATATATATATATATATATGGAACAGGGATAAGAACTATCTACTGGACATTATCTTTATCGATCTTAATAAAGCATTCGATAAGGTATCCCATTTAGGTCTTCTTAGTAAACTTATAAGTTTTGGATTAGACCAACGCTTATAAGAGTGGTTTAGCGACTATCTGTTGGATAGAGGGCAGAAGTTAAAGGTTAATGGTGTACCATCAGGGTGGGAAGTAGTACTAAGTTGAGTACCTCCGGGAACTGTACTTGGCCCCCTGCTATTCCTATTATATGTAAATGAAGTGCCGAAAATTCTTATCTCATCTTTCCTATTATTTGTGGATGATTTTAGTTATGGAAAACTGTAAGTAATAATGATGATAGGTTGATACTACAAAAAGAAACTAGATAAATTAGGTGAATGGACTAACCTCTGGAGTCTGGAATTTAACCTCAAGAAAAGCGGGGTAATTCACCTAGGTCAAAGATCTTACACGTGGTACTCCTTGGGGAGCACAGAACTGCCAGATGTTAGGGGACAAAAGAACTTGGGAATTATTGTAAGCTATGACTTTAAAAAAGGCAAATTGTAATGCAGCCACAGCTAAGGCTTTTTGAATGCTATTGGCACTTCGAAGGGCATGTTCCAAGTACTCTACGCAACATGTGTCATACCTCATCTACAATAATGCATGCAAGCGGCAAGTTCACGCTTAAAAATGGAATGGAAATATCTTGGAAAGAGTACAGAGGTTATGAACCAAATTTGTTAGTGGTATCTCACACCTCCCTTTTGATAAGAGGATGGAACATTTAAATCTCTTTCCATTATCATATCGAAGGAAGAGAGGCCACTTAATTTTGACATACCGTATACTAAGGGGTGATTTACTTTTAAAACCTTTTCTCCCCCTTCTGGGATACATTTACGAGGTTACCACAAGAAGTTGCTTAAACCAAGATCGAACAAAATACGTGTGGAATTTAGATTCTCCCACGGAATGGTCAACGACTGGTAAACAACCAGGAACCTCTACTTCAAAGTCAAGAAGCGAGCACAAATTGGTTCATACTAGCTCGTTAAAATGATATTGGATATTGGACTTGAACTCCTTATCTGATCCAGTAGTAACAGTTCCATTGGTGAAAGCCTTCAAAGAGAAACTAAATCTCTGCAGAGACATATAGCCCAAGGATTAACATAGGCAACAAGAGCCTTCTATCCTTATAACTTGAATCTGAATGGTGCATAAATGAATCCATAGTTCTAACTTTTAAATGATTACTGACTCCAGACTGAATAAACATTGCACCCAAGGACATTTTGAAGGATCAGTTGGGACTTAGATAGTTGTGTCTAAATCACGTGGGTAGATACTTCATAACTCATTTTTAGAACCTGATGAAATGAATTTCACTAGTTAGCTTATTACCAGAAAGTCTCTTTGGAAAATTAGATGAGTATAGAGGAAAATCGCTAAAACATTTATGGCATGTAAAGAGAGTACGATTTATTCATCCTGGTTGGATAAAACACTTGAAAGGATTTCGTTGAACTTGAAATATGTTTTATTTCTGAAAAATGAAATATGTTGGCAAAACATGGGTAAAATGCGATATTATGATCGACTTTCTCATGCCATTCTACCTAGAGTGATGTTTCAGCACATTTTCAACCATTATTTTCTCTTCGGAAAAAAAGAGCTAAGATTGCTATTTGGTTCTTTATGAACATATTTCCAACAATTACGTAAATGTTGGGTTTCTGAGTAGTCAGCAGAGAAATGAGTGCCAGTCCGTATTTCATTGATATTACTTTCGTATTATCGAAGACTTGTGTGACAGAGTTAAACTATATCGTCTACTAACAACAATTCGACCATAGATTCCTCAAAACCTATTTGGGTCACAATGCTGTCATATATATTATATAGAGATTTGAAGCGAAGTGGAAAGAATTCAAGTGGTAAAATAAAATAAAAACTAGAAAGAACGTTATTATGACCAAAGTAAAGAAAGGGGTTTAACGAAACGCTTTTGAACACATAATTCAGGTTTCTGTTCATGTATAGCTAAAGCTTCGGCTAGCTATGCATAAGTGAAGAAAACGTTAACTTTTGGATCGATTCGATTTTGTCATGTAGATAACTTTGAAAGATGAATCACGTGGGGCTAAATGACCAGACTCTAACAGGTGATCACAAATAGACGACTTTGCAGTTCAACATTCGCTTTTCATTAACCAAACCGGATAGTGTTCAGCTACACGTTTTCGGAGATTACGCTTACAACGTCCAATATAAACAGCTCCACAAGAGTAGTAGCTGAACACTATCCGGTCTGGTTAATGAAAGGTGAATGTTGAACTGCAAAGTCGTCTATTTGTGATCACCTGTTAGAGTCTGGTCATTTAGCCCCACGTGATTCATCTTTCAAAGTTATCTACATGACAAAATCGAATCGATCCAAAAGTTTACGTTTTCTTCACTTATGCATAGTCGAAGCTTTAGTTATTCATGAACAGAAACCTGAATTATGTGTTCAAAAGCGTTTTGTCAAACCCCTTTCTTTACCTTGGTCATAATAATGTTCTTTCTGGTTTTTATTTTATTTTACCACTTGAATTCTTTCCACTTCACTTCACATCTTCATTCTTGTCGTAATCGTACTCCTAATTTTCATAATTTTTAGACAACACTTGACATTTTTGTTATAGAACAATCTTTAATATATTTGTAATTTATCCACTTCAACTCTACCCCTTATAACTTTTATCACATATATACGTACATTGACTGAGCGATTATTTAGTGCCACTTAATAACTTTTTTCTGTAATATAAATACGACTGTACAGTTGGCTTGAAAATGAAGTCGTTGAAAAGAAATTTCTTCGCTGAACAAAAGCAACTGTGTTTTTACTTATGAATAAATAGGTACTTTACTTACATGGCTGTTCAGGGTCATAAAAAGACACTTGTTGCTGGTTCCTGCCATTATAACATTCCAATTGCAAGAATCTACGATCTTACCTTTGATTCTTTCTATTGTACTTGACCCATCAAAAATACTCATAGCATACGCGACCTTGAGGGCCTTGACTACCGCGTCTAGGCAGACTGTTTGTGCGTTTAAACAATCGTAATTCAAATTCTATTCCTTCCTGGGCTATTTCTTCGTCTTCACAGCAGCGATAAATTGCAGCTGACACGTTCTTCACCGAGCATGTACAATGGTAGTAGGAAATACCTATCAATACAACTTTAAAGTCAATAAGATTCTTATCAGGCAAAATTCATTTACCCCTCGAATTGTATTATATCTTTTTCGCGAGTTTATGTGAACCTTATGGTTTCACGGCTCTCAATTCTTGTGGTTTTGGTGTTTCTTTTGGATCTTTGGTAGGTGTAGGTTCTATTTATACTCCCGAATGATACAACTTGCTGAACAGGGTTTAGAGGCTGACGGTATTGACTCTCGGGGATTGTACAGATTTTACTAACGTTAGATCTAATACCCACAACTTCTATAGTATTCGTTCCGCTTGGACCAAAAGCAAAGCGAAAGACTACAACTGATCGTCCAAATTACAAGATATACTTCGGGACCAACTCGGAGGGTGAGATGTTTGGACAATCCAATATCGTTTTTACGATCTAGTATAAACCAATTTGATTTCTTTGTGCTCGCCTCTTGATTGTGAGGTATATGTGCCTGATCTTCGATAAACTTCTGCGTAGCTCGTCCCGCCACTCGACTGTCGTAGTTTTGGTTGACTCCAAAGGGAGTAGTGCTGGGATTAATTATATGTGGTTTGTAGTATGAGGTGTGTTAAGACTGTTTGCTACTACTGTGAATGGAGTTGATCCTTTCACCAATAATCCTCCGATATCGTCGACAAGAGAAAAGAGATAGTAATAATAATAATAGTAGATATAATTAGTGAAGTTATTCAGACTAAGGGACAGAAACGAAAGTAGGAAAGCGTAACAACAGTCAGCTCATTAAGTTTGAAGAATAATATATATATCGGGAATAATGATAATAGTAATAATAATTAAAACATTAATAAGTTGTCAGGAGAGTAAGACGGGAGAGAATGTAAAGAAGTAAAACGACGAGTTTAATTGTCTACCCCTGAATGGTTTATGCGATTTTAAGGAGATAGGCCATTTGGATGCAGTCCTCATGTCGCTGCACGGTTGTCCAGCCTTCGCTTAAAGGCGTCCAAAGACGGTGCCATAGCTACATCTTCCTGTAAGGAATTCCAGGGACGGCAAACTCGCAGTGAAAAGAAGTGGTAGCGCACCCGGGTCTTTGCCCTCTGGTGAGCTATCCTTCTGGGATTTCCACAAGGTAGACTATACCTACTCAATGGCAAATCACCTTTGTTTGGGTGATTCTAGCCATTTTTTATTTTGCAGGCAGTAATTAATTCCCCCTTAAGCCAACGAAAGCTAAGTGTGAATAGGTTTAATTTCTTTAGCCTTATATCATATGGATTGTTTCGGAGACCGACCACTCCCTATGTTGCCCGTCTTTCCAAAAGGTTCGCGTCTCTTCTTGGCAGTGGGGGCTCAGTGATATTGTGCACTTCAATGTGTGTTCTGACGTATGTTTCGTACAACCTTAGAAAGAGGTCAGGAGTGAGTGCACCTAACTGTCTATGCCATGGCTCTTTTCCAATCCCTTCGAAAATAAATATGTTAAGCTATTGATCGTGCACGAACGTGACTCGAGGAAGTACCGAAATGGAGCGAATGCTTGACTGGAAGCCTTCAGCTAAACAAATCGACTTAAGTAGTGAGGATCAGCATCCAGTGTTCAGTAATGACTGCTGTGGTCAATAATTTTGGGGAATTATTTGCCGCTCCAGCTCACTCTCCCCTAGTGGTGTTGTCAGGACCCTAAGACAGAACCAGCCGAAAGTACAAAAAAATCGATGGCTCCCAATCGGCGAAAAACTCTTCCGAACGGCTTGCTGGAGTGCCTACTGGTCGTCTACCTATACGAATAGGGTATCTGTACATCTCTTCATTGGTTTTTGTCCTCTGGATCTCATGCTTCGCTTGCTTGTTGTCAAGTGCCCGTTGCACCTGGAAAAGAAAACAAGAATGCTGAAGACCTTGTTGGGGAAGATGTATAAAAGATAAAGTTTAAAAAATGACATGCATCTACCACAAAGTGAAGTAATGCGAAAAATAGAACATCGAAATTAGTGTATATCTAATTTTTTTAGTGGATGCAACATGCACGGTTAAAGAAAAGCTTTTTAATTGTGTTGCGCGATGCAATATAAAAAAATCGATATCTTAAAAGGAAAAAATAAATACACACCACAAATAAATAAGAATTGGGTAGATCACATCAATTAGTTATGTGATATAGGTGTGAAGATATTCTGGGAATCTCACGTTTCGTCCAGAACGCGTTTTCTTTGAGGGTTTGACAGAAGGTTCTGTGGCTTTCACCGTGCTAATGGTTTGTTCGAGAACTAAGGGATATTTGGTTTTTTGTGGACTATTGGGAACGCTCAACTCTAGGCTAATACGATTGCCCTCCAAGTAAGCCGGTTTCAGACGGTCAATTCTGACGGTGTCTTCGCGGCTTTTTCTTTCTAAGACATAGAATTTACCCGTACGTTTAATGATTTTATATGATCCGTCGTTTGGGGGTTCCAGAGGGGAAGGCACAGAGTCACGACGAACAAATACATGCGTAGAAGTTTTCAAACATGGGTGGACAAGGACGTCTATGGACTGTGATCGAAGGGGAGCAGGTTTAACTGAACGCATTGCGTCTGCAAGCCTACCGACGTATGAGGTGTGATCTAGGCTGGTCGGTAGCTCGAGGGAGAAGCAAACTCACCTGGCAGTCACAGTGTTGTGCCGTATACTAGCTCGGGAGCAGTACAGCCAGCATCGGTTTTCAAGGCGTTTCGTATCCCTAGGAGAACTAACGGTAGTGATCCAGTTCAGTTGGTACTGTTTGCAGCTGATAAACGAGCTTTCAGCTGTCTGTGTAGATGTTCTACCATGCCATTAGCTTGAGGTTGGTAGACTGTTGTTCTAAGGCACATACAACCTTTGATTTTAGTCGGGGCGAAGAATAAGTCGCTTTTGAATAGCTGCCCGCCATCACTTGTTATGGAGGATGGGAATCCAAAGTTTGCGATCCATCTTTCGGTAAAGACGCGTGCGACTGTTTCAGCAGATACATCCTTGAGCGGTACTTCTTCAGGCAATAGTCTGAAACGGTCAGTGCAGGTTAAGATATGGGTATATCCATGAGATTCTGGAAGGGGCCCAGCCAAATCTACGTGAACGCGTTCGAAACGAGCGTCAAGGATAAGAAAGCTGCCAAGAGGGATTTTAGTATGTCGTACTACCTTGCACTTTTGGCAAACCAAGCACGTTTGTGCCCATTCCCTTACTTCTTTATGAATGTCAGGCCAACAAAACCAACTAGTTACCAGCCTGATGGTAGTCCTGATACCTCGGTGGGATAAGCCATGTAACGCATCGAAGACGTTACGGCGATAACCTTTAGGCCTAATGGGACGAGGAGTACTCGTGGAAACGTCACATTTAATAGTATCTCTTCCCATTCCTAAGGGTTTCCCGGATAACTGCAGAGTTGTTTTCGACAACTCATGTTGAAGCCTGGTGTCTTCTTTTTGAAGGCAAGGCAGTTTTACAAGGTCTATGCCTTCTATTTGGGTGAGGGAACAAATGCGTGGCAAGGCATCTGCCACAGTGTTTTTTACTCCGGATAAATGGCGAATATCTGATGTAAACTGTGAAACGTGTTCCGGTTGTCGTGATTCGCTAGGTGAACACTTGTCTGAAGTTGAGTTCAGAGAGTACGTAAGAAGTTGTGGTCAGTGAAAACTATAAATTCACGACCTTCCACTGAATGTCGAAGATGACGTATAACACAGTGAATAGCCAGAAGTTCTCTGCCGAATGTGCTGCACTTTGTTTCTGCTAATTTGAAGGAGCTTCGAGAAAAGGCTGAGTGGTTGCTACTCTCTGTTGACTAGCTGTTGCAGAAATGCGCTGATTGCAGTGAATCGACCGAGATTCTTAACGGTGCCGTTGGATCCTGATACATTAGAAGTGTGGCATCCGAAATAGCGTTTTAACCTGCGTGAAAGCATTTTGAGCAGACGCGTCGAGTTCGATGAACTTGTTAATCCTCCGAAGAATGTCTGTTAGTGGCTGAATCAGAGGGACACATTTGGGAATAAACTATCGGTAATAACTTACCAAGCCGTTGAAAGTGCGAGGACTTTTCACTGTTTGTGGCTCTGGAACATTCAGTATCACCTCAGCTTGGCTAGCCAGTGGGCCAATGCCCTTGCAGTCAATGGTGTGGCTCAGAGAGTCGAGTGAGTCAACGTCTGTCTGACACTTTCGGATATTGATGATAACACCACCCAGGCGCAAACTTTTGAATACCAAGTGTCAATGGAGTTGAAGATTGAACGATCAATTCTTGGTTGTTTGCTCAAAATCAACTTCCCCAATTTTCGCGGAGGCATCAATACGACAGTCATCGTCTCATCGGTCGCTGTTCAGAAAGAAGAGTGAAACATCGTCAGAAGTAATATAATGATTTATTATTGTAATATTTGTTTACAGACCTTAGTTCGCTTATTCCTTTTATATGTTGGTGTAACAATAAAGAAATCTCAAGCGGCAGATCGGTGTTTTGGTTTTTTCGTCCGTTATAACTAAGCGTTTCTGAAATCTTCGAAGAACAGCGTGGGCCCGAGCGTAGCGAGAGCTGGGCATTAACGGTTTATGAGACGTGATTGACAGTTTCTGACGATAGAAACAGATCTGGCGGATTCAAACAGTTGGTGAAAGTTTGGATAGTCGCCGTTCATTTTTCCTGGTGCCGGTCAAGTCCTCTTTGAACAAGCAATATCTGGAACTTTTTGGAATTGGGTCAAGTTCAACAATGCCTGGGTCAAAGAAGGGACAGAGTGTCTTGGATACAAACAGGAAAGTAAGTCATGGTGACTTGTCTGTTAATTGTAACGATGTGTCTGATGTTAAGCATGACATGGTTGATGTTACTGTTTCGCCGTTCAGGGATAAT